CAACAACAACAACTTGGATTTATATAACGCCCTCCGCGCTGGACAGCGTCCAGAGCGCTTCACAATAACAGATCCCGGGGCCGAACCAGGGGGGAGGGGGAAGAAGGTGACCAAAGGCGCAGTCGAAAAGAACGGCCTTTAGCCGAGACCTTAAAGTTGGAAGAGAGGGGCGAGGCAAAGGGAGTGAGGAAGGGAGTTCCAGAACCTTGGGGCATAGTGGCTGAAGGTAAGGCTGCTGATGGCGGAGCGGAGGACTCGGGGGACAAGGAGGAGGCCAGACCTGGTGGAACGAAGGCAACTGGCACTGTTGTGAGGAGAGAGGAGGTCAGAGAGTTAGGGGGGCGCAGAGGAGTGGAGGGATTTAAAAACAAGGGTGAGGATTTTGAAATCGATCCTCTCTGGTACAGGCAGCCAGTGCAGTCTGGCAATGACTGAGATAATCGGGGAGCGGAGTTTGGTACAGATAAGAATGCGAGCGGCAGAATTCTGGATGATTTGGATTTTGTGAATGGTACTGGAGGGGAGACCGGCGAGGAGGGCATTTGAATAGTCCAGCCGAGAGGTGACAAAAGGCATGAACCAGGGTTTCAGCAGCTTTTGGGGTAAGATATTGGAGGAGACGGGTGATGAGTCGGAGGTGGAAGAAGACGGTGCTGGTGAGGGACCGGATGTGGGGGAGGGAGGATAATTGGGGGTCAAACAGGTTGCGCACGGGTTCGGAGAGTTTTAGGGCAGGTCAGGTAGGTGGAGAAGGTGAGAACTTTGGCGATTGAAGACTTTGATGAGAGCCAAAGAATATGGCTTCCGTCTTGTCAACATTTAGCTGAAGGAAATTCGCGCTCATCCAGCTCCTGATGTCTGACAGGCAGGCTGACAAAACATCAGGGTGGTCGCAAAGTGAGGTGGAAGAAAAGAGTTGGGTGTCGTCCGCATATATGTGGAAGTGTACCCAATGAAATCCCCAATAGATTAGGAAGAGGAGAGGGCCAAGGATGGATCCTTGGGGTACCCTGCAGGTAACCGGGTGAGAACGGGAGGAGAAGCCGTTTGTGCAGATGTACTGCTGGCGGTTCGTGAGGTAGGACTCGAACCAGGCGAGTGCAGTCCCACTGAGGTGGATGATGGAGGAAAGACGGTGGAGGAGGATGGCGTGATTGACTGTGTCAAAAGCGGCGGAGAGGTCCAGGAGGGCAAGGAGGCAGAGGGAGCCCTGGTCACAGATAGAGAGGATGTCATTTGAGACTTTCACAAGCTCAGTCTCTGTACTGTGGGCAGGGCGGAAACTGGACTGGAGGGGATCGAAGAGGGAATGGGAGGAGAGGTGTGCATGGAGTTGATTGGCAACAACGCTTCCTGGGACTTTGGCAAGGATGTGCAAGTTTGAAATAGGGCGGTAGTAGCTGGGGTTTGAGGGATCTAGGGACGTTATTTTGAGGAGGGGGGTTATGACAGTTTTGCGGAGGGCAAGGACTGATCCAGAGGAGAGGGACTGATTGATGAACCAATCATGCAACTCAGTCATGTAACCTGAGACCCAAAGGTTCTGTGTTTGAATGCCAATGGCACGGTCAAAGAAGAAGGTCTTTAGATCGGACTTGAAGGAAGCAAGAGAGAGTTCCAGAGTGTGGGTGCAGAGATGCAGAATGCCCATCCGCCGATGGTAGGGCAGGAAGTGCGGGGGATCTGAAGCAGGCCGGTGTCCCCCGAGCGAAGGGAGAGGACAAGCTAGTATGGGGTAAGGAGGTCGGAAAGGTAGGGGGAAGCAAGACCATGGAGGTCTTTGAAGGTGAGAACAAGAGTTTTGTACTCGATTCTCTACAGGATGGGGAGTCACTGAAGCTGGGCAAGAACAGGGGTGATTGGTTCGCAGAGCCTGGTGCAGAAGAGGACACGAGCTGCAGAGTTGGGAAGCAGCAGACAGTTGGCGAAGTCAACTACGTTGAAAGCGTGGATCAAGGTCTTGGCGGCCTGTGGTGAGAGGCAGTTTCAGAGGCGGGCAGTGTTGCGGAGGCGGGCAGTGTTGCGGAGGCGGGCAGTGTTGCGGAGGCGGGCAGTGTTGCGGAGGCGGGCAGTGTTGCGGAGGCGGGCAGTGTTGCGGAGGCGGGCAGTGTTGCGCAGGCGGGCAGTGTAGCGCAGGCGGGCAGTGTTGCGCAGGCGGGCAGTGTAGCGCAGGCGGGCAGTGCTGCGGAGGCGGGCAGTGCTGCGGAGGCGGGCAGTGCTGCGGAGCCGGGCAGTGCTGCGGAGGTTGGCAGTGCTGCGGAGGTGGGCAATTTTGCAGAGATGGGGAAAGGTGGAATGGGTCATGGCATAAATGTGGGGTTTGAAGGATAGCTGAGGGTCGAAAAGGACACCTTGGCTCGGTGAGGTGAAGAGTGCAGCCACGAATAGTGATAATATCTGCAGGTGAGGTGAGGAGGTAGCCAATTGCGCACAGCAATGTCTCACAAACAGTCCCACTGTTTGTGGGACTTTGTTCCCCCTATGGATTGAGTGACCAAATTTTATTACTTGCAGAAAGCAATCTGCCAATCGACTAACAATTGGGTTTCTAATTATTGCTGGGTAAACAGAGGTCGAGGGAGGAGAGTAAGGAAACTTGCCTAAGGATTCACCCCATCTGGGGATCGAATCCGGGTGCTCTCATTTGTGAGGGGTGCACACTAACCACTACACTCCATTTTTTTCAATAATGGACATTGCTTAATTCCATGATCTACTGAAACTGAATATATCTCCTATCCTGTTGTAGGGTAAAGGACGTTAATACATTTTCAACTTTCCTGCAAAAATATTTATTTCTCAAATGATTATCTGTTCAAATGCATGCTTGAATCATCCATTCACATCTTCCTCACTTCCAGGATAAATTTCTCTAATGTTGCCCTTGCTGATGTCTCCAACTCCACCTTTTCCAAACTTGCTTCTGCTCCAGAATCTTCTCCCGCACTGGATTCTGCTATCCTTATGAAACTCCACAAAATTGATTTCAGGATCCTCGCTTCAAATCCCTCCAAGATCTTGGTTTATCCAACTTTGCAGACTTCCATATCCCTCCAAGACCTGCCGTCTGTCTCTGAGCTATCTGCTCTTCTGACTCTGGTTCACAGCTCTCACCCCAGCCCCTTTGACTCTACGTTGGAGGTTGGACCTTCAGTCTCCATATCCCTTCTTCTCATAAACATTCTTCCAAAATTACTTTTTCTCATTATTTTTCTCATTCTCTCTTCATTCATAATCTTCCGCAATTGATTCTTGCATTTGCCAACAAAATACACTCACTACGCTTCACAGTAAATCCTGTGAAGTGCATTGAGATCGTCTCCTGAGGAGAGTGCAAGGATTATTATGAATCCAAGTGCGAGGATTATTATTAATATACTATTATTATAAATCCTTCCTGCTTCTTGAAAGCTTTGAGGTGTTCTTTTACGAAAATGCAACAGTGTAAATGGATCTGTTGTCCTTTAAATACTCGCCAGAAATTTTTAGCTATAGTTTTTTTTCTTCCGTACACTGATCTCGTTTAGTGTGGGGTTTCTCCGATGCTGCAGCATTGAGTGGCAACTGATTTTCCAATGCAATGCAATGACAATATCACTTTTGAAAACAGTGCAATATTTCCATGGTGCAGACAACAACAGCAGATAGCACATATATACTTCATAGCTGTTCACGCAGGAAAACGTTTGACAGAATCAGTCCCTGTGCAAGTAAGTGCAGAAGAATGGAGTGTGCTGCGCAGGTTTAGAACTAAAAATATGATTGGTTCAGTTCAAGTAGATTGGTTTAGTTAAAGTGTGAGGACTGTTGTAAAATATAAAATAAGTGTTGTGCTTCATGGTATATCTGTGATCCTTTCCGAATGGAAGTGAAATTTTGACACATAATCCAACAATAATTTATACTTACACAGCACCTTTTACATTGGAAGACTGTTTCAAAGTGCCTTACAAAGACTGAGCGGGAGCTCAAGCCAGCAGAGAGACAGGAGGGGAAAAGGGGCTTGGTGACTGAAAGAGACGTTTTCAGAAGGGTTTTGGAAGTCTAGATAGAGGGTGCAAGGTGGAAATTTTAGGAAGGGAGTTCTAGAGGGAGGAGGCAAAATAGTTGAAAGTTTGCCTGCAAATGGTAAGGAAGAGCAAGTGGGGAGGGGGAGGGGGAGGTGGGTGGTGGGGTGTAAGTAAGCAGGGCAGAGTTGGTAAAGCAAACAAAACATTATAAATGTCTACAATCATTCATAGGCGTCTCATTCTTCTGCTTCGTGTCAATTGACCAAGGGCAGTTTGGGTATAGGTTGTCTGTAAATAGATAGCTTCCACATCAGGAAACTGTTTGCTGTCAGCAGCAAACAACAGCTTGTAATTATGTAGCACCCTTTACATAGATAACATCTTAGAGCACTTGACATTGATGGATCCGACACCGAGCAAGAGAGGGGTGGAAGTGGGAGGTGACCATTGGAGTTAGGTTTTTAGGGGTGTCCTAAATTATGTAAGCAGGAGATATCCACTGGTCACCAGCATTGTTTACTTTGGCAGCATCTGCTTACAATGTAGAGTCCAGTAGCATAGTGATTAGGGCACTTGCCTCGCAAACAAAAAGACCTGGGTTTGATTCCCAGGCAGGGTGAAACCTTAGACAAGTTTTCTTACTCCACACGCCTCTGTTTACCTTGCAGTATGTAGGAACCCAGTTGTTAGTCGCTTTTCTCGTGGTAATAATCCCTTCAGAATTTTTTTTAATAAATTGGCCACTCAATCCACGACTGCTTGTGGGACGCTGCTGTGCGCAATTGGCTGCCACGTTTGCCCACAAAATATACAGTCAATTCACTTTACAGTGTATTCTGTGAAGTGCTTTGAGAAGTCTCAATGATGTGATAAGATTCTATATCAAATGCAAGGATTATTATTATTACAATGGAGAAATCTCATCATAAACACACAACACAATCTGTGAAGGGACCCACGAGATATTAACCTCCAAATATTTGTTCCCAGACAGGTTCTCACCTAAACTTTCAACACTGCATCACAGGAAGGAGAGCACTTGGAGGTTACAGTAAACGGTGAGATACTTTCTCTGGCACTCTGAAGGATTGTGTGGAAATTTTAGACAAATGCAATTTTTCAGGGATCTGGCCTACCGGTAGAGCTCTACCTGGCTCTGTGGGACATGATGGGCCTGGACCTGCTACAACAACAACATTTATAGAGCCCCTTTCACATTGGGGGGGACATCCCAAAGTGCTGAACAGTTAGGTGTCAGGGCCTGAGCATGAGGGAGGGGTGGTTTAGGGGTGAGGGAAGGCAGAGAGGTGGGAGGGTGACCAAAAACACGGTCGAAGAGAAGGGTCTTGAGACCGGCCTTGAAGGAGGCAAGGGAGGAGGTAAAGAATTGGCAACTAATCTCACTCCTACTATGGACTGTAAGATCCCAGCAAAGGTAATCTCCGAGCAGATAAAGACTGTCCTCGGGCTTGTAATACACCCAGACCAGACCTGCACGGTTCCGGGCTGAAGGATCTCAGACAGCCTTGCACTGCTCAGGGATACCATTGCATATGTGCAGGACAGGTAGGTGAAGGCCTAACTGATCAGTCTTGATCAAGAGAAAGCCTTTTGCAGGGTATGTCACAGCTACATGTAAGAGGTACTCTCCAGAATGGGATTCGGGGAGGGAATATGCAAGTGGATCCGACTGCTCTACAGAGGCATCTGTAGCGCAGTTACAGTCAACGGGTAGGAGACTGAACCGTTCCCCATCAGGTCTGGAGTAAGGCAGGGCTGTCCCCTATCCCCCATCCTGTTTGTCTGCTGCATTGAACCCTTTGCACAGGCCATCAGGAAGAACAAGAGCATCAAATGTGTCACCATCCTGGGCAACCACGGCTCACAAGCCAAGGCTGCCCTGTAGATGGATGATGTCACAGTTTTTTACACACACCAAAAATCATTCTTGAGCCTGCTATGCATGTGCGACCGGTTTGAACAAGCCCCGGGAGCCAAGGTCAACCACCAGAAAAGCGAGGTGATGTATTTTGGAGACTGGAAAGAACGCAATCACATACCGTTTGCAGTGAAGCCAGACTCCATCAAAGTCCTCGGCATCTGGTTCGGGGCTGTTGGGGTGTGCCAAAAAAGCTGTGATGAGCGTCTAGGTATAGTGATGAAGAAACTGGTGATGTGGCGCCAGCGCTCACTGTCCATCACCAGGAAATATCTGGTGATAAAGTGTGAGGCCCTCTTGGTGTTACTGTATGTGGCCCAAGTCTGGCTTTTGACCAGGAACAACGCAGTCACCAGAGAAGTCCTCCAACTGATCTGGGGGTCCAAGATGGATTGTGTCCGCAGAGACACAATGCACAAAACCCTGGAAAAAGGGGGGAAAGGGGTCCCTAACGTGCCCTGATCCTCATGGCCACCTTTGTGTGTAGCTGCCTGAGGCTGTGCCTGGAGCCACGTTACGCTGGCAACAAATGCCGCTACATGTTGGGATTCTACCTGTACCCGGAGCTGAGAAGGGTGGGTCTGGCAGAACTGCCTCGAAACACCTAATCTATGTTGAGAAATTTCTGAAAAACACTATCCCAGACCCCCGCGCAATCACCGAGTGGTCCATGCGACAGGGAGTCGAAACAGTTTGAAAGGGGGTGGAGGGCAGACCCGATCGTGAGATACCCTGCGGCGATGGCCAGCTGCGCCTGGCAAAACGTCTCGTCACTGGCCCTGACCAACATCCATCAGGACATGGCCAGGCTGGTGATAAAAGGGGCCCACATGGATGTAGTGCACACAGGGGTGACCCCCAACTGTTTTAAAGAGAGCGTCCCAAAAATCATGTGCACAAGCTGTGTGCGGTGAAGGAATGTAAGGTAAAGAACGGAATGTTTTTGTATCGGGAGAAAGGGAAAAATGTAACAGAAAATGCAGTACATTGTGTTTGTTTTGGATTTCTGTTGTACCAAATATTCTATTTATAAATAACTATATTTTCAAGAAAAAGCAATTTTTCACGAATCTGGGTGAAATCTTAGTCAAGTTTCCTTACTCCACACCCCTTTGTTTATCTAGCAGTAAGTAGGAACCTGATTGTTAGTCAGTTGGCAGATCGCTCTCCAGGGGTAATAATCCCCTTCCCACCAAATTGGTCATTCGCTCACAAAATATACAGCTAATTCACTTTACAATATATTCTGTGAAGCTTTTTGAGACGTGATAAGATGCAAAGATCAAATGCAAGGATTATTATTATTATTAGACAATAATTGCAATTCTCACTGAGCACATTATCAGGAGATCAGAAGTTCTTCCTCTTTAGAAAAATTGATTGCAATTGTTGTCTCTTCCACTCAAATAATAATAATGAATAATAATAAAGGAAAATAATCATTTGGTAAAGAACCTTTTACATTCGGAAGACATCTCAAAGTGCTTTGTAGGATTCATTGTAAAGTGTACTGATTGTGCATTTTGTAGGAGAACAAGGCATACAATTTGTGTACAGCAATGTCACACAAACAGCCATTAAGTGAACAACAAATTTATCTAGGGAATTACTGGGCAGGACACTGGAAGAACCTTCCCTCTCTTTTCCCATTGTGCCATGATTTTCAAGTGTTTTCAAGCTGTGCAAATTTTCCTTGACTGAGACCCTCAGCTACCAAAATATCTTCATATCACCATCTATCATACAGAATCAACACAAACCTTTTGCTTCTGCTATGGCTTCCTTCTCTCCTTTCTAATTCTCTCCCCAATTCTCTGCCTGAGTATCCTAGTTCAGCTGGTAATACTCTCAACTCTAAATCAGAGGATAGTGGGTTCAAGCCCACATTATAAATTTGAATTCATCAGCGCATTACTGGAGGTAACGTCCTTCGGATGAGACATTAACTGAAATCCTTTCTGCTTTTTCTCGTGGATGTTAAAGGCTCTATTTGAAAAGAGGAGGGAGCTTCTCCTGGAACCTGGTCAACAATCCCACAATAAAATTGGTCACTTACTCCATTGCTCTTTGTGGGACTTTGCTGTGTGCAAATTGGCTGTCTCGTTCGCCTGCAAATACATAGTCGCTACATGTTACAGTAAATCCTATGAAGCACTTTGAGACAACTTGACCATGTTAAAAAGCATTATGTCAAATCTAAGAATTATTATAAGGGTTATTATTAATCAAGCAATTATTATTAATGAGTGTCTTGGTTCTGCTTTCCGAGTCTTTCTCTTCCATGTCCTGCCTCCACACTCAACCCTTCTGCAAATAACATCAATGACTAAAGTGTTACGTTTGCCAATAAAGAACTGTTAAAGAAGGCAATAGAATGAGTAAAGGGAAGAATCATTGAATGGTAGGTTGGGTCTGCCGTTAACCAATGTCAGGTGGATAAATTCCAAAGATTACAACAAAGTACACAAAGCACTGTACACAGGAATGACTTCAGAGATAAGGGTGAGGCGAATGAATGAAAATAATTTAGGAATGGTTTTAGATCAACTTCTCAAGTGCTCTCAGGTTGACAGAGAAAAAATGTGGTCGCTCAATCCACGACTGCTTGTGGGACACTACTGTGTGCAATTGGTGTTGTGTTTCACCCACAAAGTACACAGTCAATCCATTTTACAATATATTCTGTGAAGCGCTTTGAAACGTCTCAAGGACGTGATAAGGCACTATATCAAATGCAAGGTTTATTATTATTATTATTATAACATATTTAGTTACTTTATTGGGGTTGTCAGAGAAATGTAATCAAACATCTCCTTGTTTCCATTTGCCTTCTGGTTTCAGTTGTATCCGGGTTTTGTACTAACTGGGAAACAACTCGTATTAAGTTCTGTTTAGTTTTATGCTGCCAGTAGCAACACCTCTTAAAGTAAGCTGCATGATACCAGTCCACGAACACCACCGGGATCTGTGGCGTGTGATGTGTGGTGTGTGTGTGTCACCCTCCAGCTTCAAATACATATAATTGGTTAGTCTGGTGCAGATTCCACCACTCACAGCACCACAGCTCAGGATAAGCAACAGAACTGCAATGTCATTTTCCTGTGTGTGCACATGCATGCTCACTCTGTACTGGAAAGTGTACCTGTGTCTGTGCACACAGGTGGGTCCCAGAGACAGCACAGTTGTCACAAGATAAACGCCGCAGCTTTAGGATAAGCAGTGCTGAACTTAAGAATTCATCTCCTGCCTTCACTTTTAGGAGTTTCCTCCACACCACACTCAAGACGAAGGATAGAGCATTCAGATATGTTCATTCTGCCTTTAATAGAGTGTTTCATTCTTGGGTCACAAAGGGCTGAGAGAATTATGTAGAATGAACCAGAAACAGGCCATTCAGCCCAATTTATCTGTGCCAGTATTTATACTGTAGTGCAGCACTTTGTTAAGTGGCCTGATCGTCACTCCCTGTATTGCCAGTGCACCAGGCGATTCCATACATGATTTGTGGAGTTCAGTAGCGTATGGTTAGAGCACTCGCCTCGCAAACAGGATGACGCAAATTTGATTCCTGGGTCCTGCAAAACCGTAGGCAAGTTTCCTTACTCCACTCGCCTCTGATTACCAAGCAGTAAGTAGGAACATGGTTGTTAGTCGATTGGTGGATCGCTTTTCCTGGGGAAATAATCCTTCCCCCCAATAATGTGATTACTCAATCCACAACTGTTTGTGGGACACTGCTGTGCACAATTGGCTGCCACGTCTCACCCAAAAATATGCAGTCAATCACTTTAGAATATATTCTGTGAAGCGCTTTGAGGTGCCTCAACAATGTGAAAAGTGCTATATCAAATACAAGGATTATCATTATTATTATTTATCCTCCACACGAGGCTGCATCCCTTGTATTCCCCTCTTCTATACACCCTCTCTTCTCTCTCCCTCCTGTTTGCCTCAAGTATGCCATGGGATCTTTGATATCCATCTGAACAGATGGGATGTTGATCAAGACAGCAGAACAAGAGGACACAAGTTTAGAGTTGCAAAGGGCAATTTGAGGACAGATACAAGGAAATATTTATTGACTCAGACTAGGATTAACGACTAGAACAGTTTGCCAGG